TGTTATCTCAGATTTTCCAACATCTGCAGTTCCTACTATCTCTGAAACCGAGTGGGTCTGGTTCTGATCAAAAGGACCGTGATGTATGTTGACAGGAAATATAATGAGATAGTTGGAAGAAAGAATAGCCCATTATAACAGCCAGATATTAGACTGATAGTAGTCAGTTATAAGTAGTATTAGCTTGTACTGAAACCATTTTGAAAAAAATATAGTCAATACAAGATTATCAAATTTGGATGGACATTTGTTCCACACATGCATTTATCTGAAGAATTCTCATAACTAATGTTTTCTTTTCACACAGGAATGCATTCCCAGAAAACTTGGTACAGGCTAGCTTTCAACAGGTAATTAAGTTCTTGTTCTCTCTACATAAAAATCTCAGTTCAGCCATTTACAGAGTTTAGATTAATTGTATTTGCTTTTGTTTAACACGACTCCTAGACAATGATCCAAAATCAAAAGTTACCTTCATATAAAATATTGCTAATCACAAAAACAACTCCGCCATAGCTTCAAATAAAACAATATGCCAGGAATAAAATCAGAAAATTCTGTATCAGCTAAATAAATGTGCTAATTCTATATTCATTCAAGTGTCTTTTAAATATTATTCCTAGCTGAGACAATATTAAAGTTGTTGTATTCTTACGTTGTGTTCCTTAATACACAATTACCACTCTCATACAGAATTAGTAAGGTTTGATTTATTTGGAAAGCTGAAACAAATTTACCTAATAAATACAGTCATAGAACGACTTGTGCACTTTCAAGTCCTAGCCTGCTGCTGCTACTGCTTGGAATTCTTATAGCCATCCCTCCCCACTACTGTCCACCTTCCCCTGCCTGTAATCCCAAAGCTTGCAGTATTTCAAACCAAGAAGGGAAAAACTTGCTCCTGGATGGGGAAATCAGCAGACCTGATCCTTCTCTGCCTGACGACACCATGTTATGAACACTACCATCCTGGCTGAAGTTGGGACAGCTCTTAGACAGATAGCGGGGGATAGAGAAGGAGGAAAACTTACAAAATGCCTGAGAGATAGTAAGAACTGCAGATGCTGGAGTCTGAGATAACAAGGTGCAGAGCTGGATGAACACAGCAGGCCAAGCAACATCAGAGGAGCAGGAAGGCTGACATTTCGGGTCTAGACCCTTCTTCAGAAAAGAAATACTTCTCCTCAACGTACATCACGGTCCTTTTGATCAGAACCAGACCCACTCGGTTTCTAGGGTCTAGGCTCTGCTAAGACCAATAACCTGACTGACCATGACCAATCCCCTGGACTGAAATCGGATGAGCTCTTTAACTGTGGTGGTAGTTTCTGTCTGACTGTGGTCCCCCTTCACTCCACTAAGGAGAGGTCTCTTTTGAATTTCACATACAGCCACTTTGATTGAAAACAAACAATGTGTAAACTGCTGGCACTTGCTACAGGTGTGACCTTGACAGAGCGTAGAGCCACCTGTCCACCTCTTTGAACATTCAGTGCTTCCCACTAAAACAAGCTGCCTGTCTCTCCCTCTGAGCTAAACAGCAAATACAAGCCACAGAGTTTGGCAGCCTGGAAGAGAGCACTTTGTGTACCTTGTAATCAATACCAGCCACGCACAGGCTGATATGTCATTAGTCCCTAATGAAATCAGTGAGTGTGCTCTAAAAGAAACTATGTGCCATTTACAGTGCCTGCTCGTCTGCAAGTAGCACAAAGTGAGTGAGTGCTAAGAAAGCAAGCTGAATGTTATAAGATGGAGATGTATAAAATGCACAAAATGACCTGGCAGAACCACACAGGTTGTAGGTGTCCCTGAGTGCCACTTTAAACATGTTGATGGGCTGAAGTAGTGTGTTAGTTGGTCTGATAGAGGCAAAGGGATGTGGGGAGGCTGGCTATTTGCCAATGCCAATATGTGTGAATGAAGAGTCAAGAAAGATGATGGCCATTCCACTAGCAAAGATATTGTTACCAAGAAGCAAGTGTCTGGTGGTTGGGAAAAGCAGCCACCAGGTAGCTGCTCTGACTTACATGCTGAGAATATGCACCATCTAGTTTCCTGGATAAGGAGGGGAGAATTGGAAGTAGTGTACAAATAAGGCATTTTGGGTCTTCAAGTGTACGACAAAAAGTTGCCGCTCAATGGCATTATTCTAAAGTCATTCTTTAAGGCTTAAGGGGCAAAATCAGGGAACATTTTCTCAAACTTAAGATTCTAATTGTGTTTCACTTCGATCTTTCACAGCAGAGAGGAGAAAATAAAATCTGTGTCTCCATCATATTAGCCGGCATAAATTTTTCCATTGGTGTAAATTTCACAATGGGGGAATTTACTCACATAAAAAATTGTAAAAATATTTCTTGATGTTTCCAAAATGATTATTTTCAACAAAGATCTGCCCTCCCAAGGCTTTTATCCAAAAGTCCTCTCCAGTGGTGTTGCTGTAGCATGTCAAAATATTTTATCCCACCAGTCATTCGGTTCTGTGGGCTGCCAGGAGTCAACATTCTCATTGATTTGACAAAACTGTCGTGTTCCCTTGAAAGACTTTTGTGCTGAAGCAAATGGCATTTTATACATCTAAGAACCAGCAATGCTGCAGACAGATGCATTGCAAAACTTAGTGCTGCAAAAATAAGACTGGGTTCCAATCTCTGAAAAGCCATTCTGTGCCATCACATGGAAGATTGTTACCTTGTCAATTTTTTTGCTATGGCCACTAAGAACTATGTTGAGAATATACCACCTCACGTCACACATGCCTGATAACTTATCAGTTACAGGAGACATACACAGTATTTTCAAAACTATCCAAACACCAGCATTCATCCCTTCCCCTTAAAATGTTTCATATCTGCTTGAGTTACCTTTCGATAGTTTTTATTAAAGAACTGTGTTGATTTGCTGTACATAACTTGATTGATTTAATTCAAAATTATTGTATGACCTCTCTTTTGGTTTTGTTTTTCAGTATAAAAGCAAACGAATAGAAATTGAACCTACAAACAATGCTACCAGCCCGATGGTTACTGTTGTCATGACAACACAAACGAATGAGGTAACATAACTAATATAAAATACAAAAAGAATTGCTGGAAAAATTCAGCACATCATGCAGCATCTGTGGAGAGAGAAACAGAGTTAATGAGATGATCTCTCCTTGAAATGTTAAGTCTGTTCATTTCTCCCCAGATGCTTCTTGATTGAAGTATTTCCATCACTTTTTATATCTTTCAGATTTACATCTTGGGCAGTATTTTGCTTTTGTATTTGCTGTATGTTGCATAACTTCTTTGGTACTCAGCTAAATCGTGACATTTGTCAGGCAATTTTTATGAAATGTGTTTTCAAGATACAGGTTTCTGAACATACATAGCACATCAGAATGAAGAAAACAGCCTGAGCCTCTTTGCATTCTCAGCATCAATACACAAATTTACAGTTTCCTAGCACCATTATCTAAATCCAGAGGCACACTAACCCTAACCCTGCTCCTAGTTCCTATGTGGTTTCCTAAGGGACACAGTTTCCACTTTTCTTTCAGCTGCATTTTTTAAAAAGGGACAATGTGAACTGTGGACACATGAAGTATGAGGTGTGGTGGAAACAATGAAGCAAGAAACAGAAGCTAAAATTCAGGCATCCACAACCCTTCAAATGCAAGTCCACAACAATTATGAGATATGAAGCCTCTTCATTATCGTGTACATTCCAGGAATTTGCTGTCAAAAGCACTAGGGCTTAATTTAGTTTTACCCAGTCTGTATGCAGATTGTAGTCCCCAGTGATTACTGTATCAGCCTTGTTATAGGTGCCTTTGACATCCTGATGTGTGGCATACCTTACATTACTGCTTCTGTTTGATGGCTTGGAAACAACTCCTAACGACAACTTTATGTCCTAATTTTTAAATAAGGACCATTGCAGTCAAATTTGCATTGTCATGTATAGCTCCAGGCTACTTTTGAAAATTATTTACAGTCTGAAAATCAGGAAAAATAAATGGATCCCATAAACTCAGGAAAAACTTATTTTCATTTTGAATATAGTTTATAAGCAGATTCACAGCTAAAGATGATCCAGATCCCATTTAGTAATCCTTCTCCTGATTTTCTGCTGTGGCTTATGCCAAAAGATGAGCATACCAGTGATATGACTACAGTGACAGCACAAAACCTATCATTACATCAACGTGCAATGCATGTATATCACTGAACCTGATTTTTGATCTTTCTCCCCCTGCAAATCCAAGATTATCATTTCACCCTCAGTAATGTAAATATCTGTGGTAAAAACATGCCACAAAAAATTTTGATGAGCGTTAAAGTGAAGTGAAGTGAAAACATGAATAAGATTTTTGCTGGACAATCTCAGTTACTTGTTTTAATAAACTCAATGGGGTTCATGAAATATTACATTCAGGAGTGACTGGTGCTACATTTGTTAGTGCACCAATGAGTTAGAATTAGAATTAGGTTTATTGTCAAATGTACGCAAATTATAAAAGAACAGAAGTACAGTGAAAAGCGTACAATGCCTCCAACATACAGGGCCATCTTAGGTACAATGTGCCTAGGCACAAATCTTAGGTCAAAAAATAGAGAAAAGAAAACAGTACATTACAGATATATATAATATAAGTTAGGAAAAGAAGAAATAAAGCTAAAATGACGGACATTGCAATCTTTCTGTAAGACTTCCACATGACCACATGAGCACTACTGGTTCCCAACCAGCAGCCATCTCTGCTCTGGGCCCACTGCCCACCCCCACTCCACTCCAGGCGCCCAATCCACCTCGACTCCGCTCCGGGCCCACTGCCCAACCCCACTCTGCTCTGGGCCCTGATGGTCAACCTCACTCCACTCCAGGCCCACTGCCCACCCTCATTCCGCTCTGGGCCCCTGCCCACCCCCACTCTGCTCCGGGCCCACTGACCTCACCCACTCTGCTCCAGGCCCACTGACCACCCCCACTCTGCTCCGGGACCCCTGGCTCTCCCCACTCTGCTCTGGGCCCCCTGCCCTCCCCCACTCTGCTTCGGGTCCACTGCCCATCCCCACTCCGCTCCAGGCCCACTGCTCACCCCCACTCCGCTCCGGGCCTACTGACCACCCCACTCTGGACCCACTGACCAACCCCACTCCAGGCCCACTGACCACCCCCACTCTGGGCCCATACACACATGATGTGCACCCAGAACTTTGCAAATCTGCACAAGGTGAGCGTGATGCATCAACTGTACTCTAGAATGGCAGAAAGCGGAAATTTGGAAATTCCCTTCGTAGAGTGAAGCATAATGAGTCAGCCTGGGCCTCCTATTGGCTGAAGGCAGGGTAGCATTGGGAGCAGCCTCAGAGAAGGTTTCTTTAGCCTTGAAGTCTCTCCCTCAAATATACACAGAAACAAACATCATCTGCTACGAGCTACTTATCAGCAAGCCTCATAAACCTCCATTAAGTCAGTTGAAAACACACTGAGGCCTTGGAAATGAATTGCTTTCACATCTTCCATAATTAAAAGTCAAACAAGCACAAAGCTAATTCTTTTTCAGTAAAAAGGTGTCTGAACAAGCAAGAAACGAAACATCAGTATCCTTTAAACTAGTGGGCACTTTTTCCTTTTTAAAGTTAAGGGCTGGCAGTAGGGAAGACCCATTGATTTTGAGGTGGCCTATGAAAGACAGAAACGTGAATATAATGCACACTCACAAGGTTTGGTCTCGCTTCATTCTGCAACTTGATGTGACTGCAGGGTGGCACAACATCTTTGCCCTTTCACATAGTCCACTCCACGCAAAGAATTTTGACAAGAGTATATAATTTACAGATTTCAGTTAGTCAATCGTGCTGTACCTAACAATTAAATTCTATCCCTACAACCTCTCCAGTGATGGCTTTCCCACAACGCCAAGTTTGTGATGCCACTGTTGTGCCGATGCAGGGATATCGTTCATCTCACTTTCACACCAATCTCTCTGTGGCCAACAATAATGAGATTTTTGAAAGATGTAAACAATTCCTGTTAAATAAAAACAGCAAAGATGCTAATTTCCTGAAGGATTGCCTTGCTTACACAATAGTTGCTGGCTCATATGGAACAGGAAGATCCCATAATGGATACCCTAGTCATCAGCGATGTCATCTGTTTGGGGTGAGGAGGAGGAAGAGTTCGGTCCCAGGATTTAATCTTCCTAAAAGTTATTCAATAGTTACCCCATTAAAAAGTCAAGCACTTTTTTTTATTGAATCTTGAAAACTTGGATATGATCCCTACAAACATTGGTGTTGAAATGAAACTGTACACCTGTAAGAGTCTATCCCAAGTCTTGTGCACATGATCCTTTTTAAAATTTTAATAATATCGCATTTCATTTGTGAGGTCTAGTTGCTGGGTACAGACCCATTGGTGTTCTTAAATGTTCAGAAAATGTAGCAATTCATTGAAAGCAAGTCAGTCAATGTATTCAAATAACAAATAGGTTAAAATTCTGATTTTTAATCTGTTCGAAATCCTCATAGACTAAGAGCAAAGACTACAAAGTGGTTGGTGGATACACTGATGGAATAAATGTACTGGGCCTCATTGTCTTCTGCCTAGTATTTGGGATTGTCATTGGACAGATGGGCGAAAAAGGCAAAATCCTGCTAGACTTCTTTGATGCATTGAATGAAGCCACCATGAGAATTGTACGCATTGTCATGTGGTAAGTAGAATGTTACACTAAAATTAATTTCTACCTTCTTTCAACACAATCCTAATCAATGGAACCATTACTTCAACCTTTGAGTGGCTTTCATCCTTGTCCATAACAAGATTCGTAAACAGCAATCAACCCTCTGATTCCTTCCTTCCCTTCATGCAAGAAATATACCTAGCAAGAAAGACTGATGCAGGACAGTAAGGGATCATAACTCGTTTTGTTAACCATGACCCACATTTCCCTGTTAATCATTGTTTTCATTGTCTAAGGAGGCACAGTAAAAAGAAAAAGTTATAGTCACTTCAACACACCACCCTGTTCCCTGGCCAACATCTCTGTCTCTGGCTTGCTGCAGTGTTCCAGCAAAGCTCAACGCAAGCTGGAAGAATAACACCTCACTTTCTGCCTGGGGACCCTGAAGCCCTCCGGACTCAATATCGAGTTCAATAATTTTAGGGCCTAAACTCTCCCATGTCCCAGCCCCCTACCCCACACACTAGACCTTCTTATCACATAGCCTGCCATTACACACCCCCTATTGTCAATCACTAACAGTCCCCAACTAACAACTACCCACCCTCCCAGCCTGATCGTTATCAACTCTTTATCTGTCCAACTGCTCTTCTCTCTCTTTAGGCTCTATCCTATCATTTTCTCCCTACATCCCCCTCCCTATTTTCTGCATATAAACTGACATTTTCCCAGCCACCATCTGTTCTGAGGAAGGGTCACCAGACCCGAAATGTTAACTCTGTTTTTTCCTTCACAGATGCTGCCAGACCTGCTGAGCTTTACCAGCAACGTTGTTTTTGTTGTTGTTATCACATTGTCTGCTATTACATACAACCCCATTGTTAGCCACTAACGGTCCCCAATAACAGCTATTCATTCTCCTGGGCTGATTGTTATCTACTCTTTTTGTCTGTCCAACTGTTCTTCTCTCTCTTTGGTCTGTATCCCCACTTATCGTTTACTCCTTACCCCTGCCCCCCACCCCTCCCCGCCCCCACCCCCAAACCCGTGCTTCTGTATATAAACCCAACACTTTCATAGCTACTGAGATAACAAGGTGTGGAGCTGGATGAACACAGCAGGCCAAGCAGCATCAGAGGAGCAGGAAGGCTGACGTTTCGGGTCTAGACCCTTCTTCAGAAAAGGTTTTCATAGCTACTATCAATTCTGAGGAAGGATCAGTGGACCCAAAACATTAACTCTGATTTCTCTCTGCAGGTTTTGCCAGACCTGCTGGGCTTTTCCAGCAATTTCTGTTTCTGTTTTTCAAAAATGATAGTCCCTGTGATCAGATTCTTGTAGCAGCATTCCTCATCAGCGAAAATCTTACATCAACTATATGTTGGGTGAAGGATAAAGTGTTAACTCCTGCCATTGCAGTTTGGTGCAAATGAGAAAAATAATTGGCTAATGTACTTAAACTTCAAATATTAAAATGTAGAGATTTACTCTGAAAAAGCAAACTTTCCTATTTCAGTGCTTGAGCTGCAAATAAAATTAAATTAACTATCATTTCTAAAATGAGGGTTGGAAATGAACCTACTGATGTTCAATTGAAATTGCTTTTCCTAATTTGATCGCTTGTCAATGATTTCTTTTCAGGTATATGCCAATAGGTATATTATTTCTTATTGCTGCTAAAGTAATGGGAGTGGATGACTGGGAAATTTTCCGTAGGCTTGGCCTTTATATGGCAACAGTGCTGACTGGGTATGTATCACAGAGCTTTTAAATTGCTTAATTGGGAATTACTGAAGCAAGTTTTGAAAATTTACAAAAGCATTTGTCCTTTAATGTATAGTGTCCAGATTAAGTTATTTCAAAAGAAAATATACAGACTAACGTTTCTTTATGGAGTTATCAAAGAGGACTTGTCCAGAAATGTTGATTACTGTTGGAAAAGATTGCCCACTTACATTTCATCAATTCTTTTTCCTGCCAAATTTCCAAGTCCAGTGTGTCTCATGTGTGTCCATTAGGGGAAACCATGCAGAAATCCATGCTGTACTGGAGTGGCATTGCAAACCAAGACATGCCTCCTTTTTATTGCATGCTGCTATACTTCCAGATTCAAATCATTTATAAAAGGTCCCAAAGCCATACTGGCAGCCAGTGAGGAAATGTAAGAGTGTAAAATGTGAGAGGGTTCAGGTTGTGCTATTATGGATAAGTTGTCCCAGTTGAATTTGTGTTCTTGTTTGTCCGTGTGTATTGAGACCAGTGAGAATTGGTCGTGTCTCTTGATGGCTAGTTGGTGTTTGTGTATCCTTATTGTCAGTTTTCTTCCAGTTTGGCCTAAGTAATGCTTTTCACAGTCCTTGCTTTCCTGGAGGCCTGGCATTCCAACCGGAACTCCCATCAACAAACACATTGAACTGGACCCAATACATAAACCACTGAAAAACAGAACCAAAAGTAATGCCAACATCCCAGCAAACTGAGGCATATAAATAACAAGCGGGACAGAACACCAACGCTTCACTGGAGGTGCACTGAGATGTTACCTAGTAGAGTGATGAAATGTCTGCAACCAAACACACCGGCTCAGCGAGCAAGTCTACAACCTCATCCACAACCCGAGCTACAAATCTTTTCAAAAACTGTGTTTGGGGGTGCTGGGTGTGGTTAGTAGTGTGTCAAAGGTTCTGTTGTGTAGATATCCAGGAGTTAGAGTAAAGCTTTAATCCACTATCTTTTCCTGGTTAACAATGAAAATGTGTCAGAACCCTTTATCTTGAAATTTGAGAAGGATTTCAGATACACGGCATTCCTACAGAGTCCAGCACTGGGAATTCTGCATGCACAACTCAATTCCCCAGTGCTCCAACGACTATCCAGCCATCAGAATATCTGTACCAGTATCTTTCAGACTTGATGCAGGATTAAACCTGGCACAATTGAATGATTATGAAGAGACCCATGATCTCCAAGCCCAATGTTAAATATGTGACACATAGACAGAAAGATTGATGTTGAGGTCTGTATATTAACTAAGCAGAAGCAGTTTTGGCAACAGCAAAAACAGAAGTTGCTGGAAAACTCCGCAGGTCTGGCAGCATCTGTGAAGAAAAAATCAGAGTTAATGTTTCAGGTCCAGTGACCCTTCCTCAGGTTGGTGGGGGATAGGCGTCAGGTCCGTTATAGGCAGGGTTGGGTTTGTGTCTTTCACATCTGGCAAGATCAAGCCAAGTTTGGGTCACTGTGATGTGATATGAATGTATTTGTCAAATAATCATTGTCATTCATAAGCATGCTCTTTTTGGGATACAGATTGAGCTTTATTGTAATGTAATTTCTGTCTGTATTTGTAGAAGTGTGTGCAGAAGCATAAAGGTGAAACATTGAAAGTCATTCACCTTCCAACTAATATTAAGCAAAGTAAGAACCCTAAAAATTATTTAGAGGAAGAGATTTACGGTAGCTTTAATTTATATGGTGTCTTTAATGGAGAATATATCTCAGGATGCTTCACAGGTGTACATCTTAACTCAATGATGTACCTTTGGATGCTAAATGTGTATCAATGGATCTTCTGAAAACCATGATGTTGGTGAGAGCAGGAACGTACATATTGGGGAAAAATAGTGGCACAACTATAATGTCTCTGGACTAGAAATCAAGGACAACAGGCAATCGGTCATGGGACATAGGCTTCAGCCTCACTATGGCAGGCAGTGAGATATGAAATTAAAAACTGTTCAATTACAACCACAATTGATCATTGTGAAAACCCATCTGGTTCACTAATGACCTTTAGGAAAGAAAATCTGGCATCCTTACTTGGTCTGGCCCATATGTGAGTGCAGAGTTGACTCCTAACTGCCCTCTGGGTAATTAAAGAACGGTGATAAAGCCATCCTAGTCAACAATGCCCATATTCAATGAATGAAAGAAAAACAGTGAGAGTAACTCTTTGAGACTCTTAATTGAATTAAATTAGCTTTACTCTCATATGTACTTACATGACTCAGTGAAAAGTTTACAAGTCACCACTTACAGCACCATCTTAGGTACAAAGGTACCTAGGTACAGATTCTTGAGTACAAATTCTTAGGAGAAAAAATTAGAAAAATAAAGAAATAAAAAGTCCAGCATTACAGACCTTCAAATAAAATCATACTATAATCATTGTATAATCACAATAAGTTTCTGTATGGTATTTGGTTTAAATTATGTAGGCTGGGTTTACATAGGATTTTATTAGTCTTTATTGGATGCAATGTTAGTTAAGATCCAATTCATTTTAAACTTTTTTGCAATTTCCTTTGGCAGATTAGCCATCCATGGTGGTATTATTCTCCCCATAATCTATTTCATTGTGGTACGGAAAAATCCCTTCATATTCATTGGAGGAATGGCTGAGGCATTACTGACTTCTGTCATGATTTCATCCAGGTAACGGGACAGCTGTTAGCGATTGTTCTAAAACCCAGTAATCAACTTTGACTTTCCTTGGAAGAGAATTTATAGTGAATGCACAGAAGGAAAAATATTACTTTTATTAGTCATTTAATCTGCAGGATTTAATTAAGATTCTAATGGGTAATGTCCTGTTCAAATTCAAAATACTGAGTCCCTGCAGATTTACTGAATTAATTCATTTCACGATCTGTTACTGAACTATGATATTAAATAGGCAGCAAGTTTAATTCCTATGTGCTGATTCAACAACTCAGCAGCAGGAGTAAATGTGATATAAATATTTTAAGCATCTTTAGACCAGAAAGGATATTAGTTATCCTTGGTTTCTGCTTGTTGCTCTGTGAACCCATTGGAAACTGCAGGTGTGTAGATGTTGGACAATGACAGCAAGACTTTGTTGCAGTTTCTTGCTATTGCATAAGACACCAATGCTGCTTGTCTGTACAGTCACTATATCATGCCACATGTTGAAATGACCACTTGAGTCAAGTACCAGAGGATCGCTTCTATCTTTAAAAGGAGCTAGTAAAGTGAGTGAGTGAGACATAGTGAATCTTTTGCATAAATGATTGTTGTGACATTTTTCCTAAGTAAACCATATTTTTTATTATGGTGTTGCAGAAATGATTATTTCATTTCAATAAATCAAACAATGCAAGTATTAGCCCAATATGCCCTGGAATTGATGTCATTGAACAAATGTCTGGTCAGCTGTTTATGCTTGTGACAAAATGCGGAGTTTTAAGAAAGAGGGTAGAGATAAGGGGAGACAGATGTTTGATGTCATTCACGGAAGTTTCGGTGTTGTAACCCCAGAACAGAGACTAATAATGTGAAAGTGCTAAAATGTTAAAAATGAAAGGAACTTTGCTCTAGTAGTAACATACATTCCTCTATGCAGTTCTGCAACTCTGCCAGTAACATTCCGATGTGCTGAGGACAAAAACAAAGTTGACAAAAGGATCACCAGATTTGTGTTGCCAGTGGGTGCCACAATAAACATGGATGGAACAGCTCTATATGAAGCAGTTGCTGCAATATTTATTGCTCAGCTTAATGACTATCCATTGGATGCGGGGCAAATAATCACCATCAGGTGAGACCTCCAGCTCAGGTTTCAATATGTAAGGATTTTGGTTCTTTTAAAAAGATACTGGTGCTATCAAGTTTAATAAGCCATTTGAATTGAACCATTTCTCTCCATAGTTATATTCCATGTAAAGTACACAAAGGAATTGTGGCCAAGTTACAATGTTCTAAACATATCCGTAAGCCACAAGGGGACACAGAACCAAAGAGAGAGTCATGCTGAATCTTTGGTGGGTGGAGAAGGGATGTCCCATCTACTGGCTGGAAAGTCATCAAGCGACCTGTGTTAATTGTTTCGAGGAAGGCCCTCCAGGGGGCCACACAAGGTCAGGATTTGTTGGAGGCAACCTTCCCTGGAATCGGAAGTCCTGGCCTAGAGAAAACTGCCACACACAGTCGCAGAATGCCAACTATCACAGCGGAGGCTGTGATTCATGCCAGAAGTGCACTCCCATAATTCTAGCATTGTGGAGTATGAAGAACAGCAGTGGGAGTTCATGGGTTGGGTGTCATGGATAGAGAGAGGTATGGGGGCTCTGAGGTGAACACTATTGGCCTACCCTAACCCCTGTCCAGAAAATAAAAAGAGTTGGAGATTTGATGGTCCCGACTCACTTAAACGTAATATTTACTCAAAAAACGTTAAAAGTTTCAAATCCTACTCTAGTTCCTCGAAAACTATTAACATTAGAATTCTCAGGCCAATTATTACTTTCATAGCTCTGGAGAAAGTCAGCAGGTCTGGCAACATCTGCTTTCTCTCACAGATGCTGCTGGATCTGTTAAGTTGGTCCATCATTTACTGGTTTCGTTTCAGATTTCCAGCATCCGCAGTTTTGTTTTTTTTTGTTTACCATCCTGGCTACTTGAAACTGGAAATGGACTGATTTATAGTGCTCAGTGTCATCCCAGTCTGTGCATTTACCCACTGAGCCAATTCTAGTGGGAGTGCTGTCAATAGACAAGATTTTTCACCCCCCCAACTTCTCTTAAACTGCTTTTTGTTTATTTACATCTCTTTAGATACTTAATATGGCATTGAGTTCACCCATTCAAACATGATAATTTCCTAATTAACCTGTTCAGTGATTATACACCTCTAGAGTAGATGGGACTTGTATCCAGGTCTCCTGGTCCAGAGGCAGGGACAATAGCACTGTGCCACAAGAGCACTGGTCCAGTATGTTACAGTTTTTATGACAGGTAAAGCAGCAAATGATGTGGAGTCTGACCAGTGTTTCTCAATTGGTCTTTAAAATAGCTGTTTATTTTCAGCATTACAGCAACAGCAGCTAGCATTGGAGCAGCAGGGGTTCCTCAAGCTGGGATGGTTACCATGGTGATTGTTCTTACCGCAGTTGGATTGCCTCCTCATGACATCACTCTGATCATGGCTGTAGATTGGCTACTGTAAGTGCACATTTTTTTGTAAATGTCCTTCTTTTTAGAAACAATATCACTATGAAACATAGGAACAGGAGGGCCCATTCAGCCCCTTGAGCCTGTTCTGCCATTCAGTGATATCATAGGTGACCTGTGGCCCAACTCCATATATCTGCCTTTGGCCCATATCCCTTAGGACCTCGGGTTAACAAAAAATCTCAGATTTAAAATTAACAACTGATCTATAATGGACTTTTATTCAGTAAAAGAGAATTGCATGCAGTGGCCAAGATGTTATTCACAGTATTTTTCTTATAGTTTCAGTTTGGTGTAATAAATTGTGCCACAATTGCAGGTCAAAAGGATCTTATAGAAACATATAAAATTATGAAGGGAATAGATAAGATAGAAGTAGAGAGGATGTTTCCACTGGCAGGTGAAACTAGGACAAGAGGGCATAGCCTCAAGATTAGAGGGAGCAGATTTAGGACTGAATTGACAAGGAACTTCTTCACCCAGAGGGTTGTTAATCTATGGAATTCCTTGCCCAGTGGAGTAGTTGACGCTACTTCAGTAAACGTTTTTAAAGATAAGGTAGATTTTTTTTGAACAATAAAAGAATTAAGGGATACGGTGAGAACGCGGGTAAGTGGATCTGAGTCCATGAAAAGATCAGCCATGATCTTATTGAATGGCGGAGCAGGCTCAAAGGGCCGGACGGCCTACTCCTGCTCCTAGCTCTTATGTTTATGTTCTCTTATGTAAAAGCCATTCAAACTGTGGCAGAGAGTCTGATGGTTCAGATTTTACACGAAATTAAAGGAATCCAGTGTTACAATGTGGGGGTCTCATAAATAGCAGTCAGGCTGCAGAATGGACATGTGTTTTGTAAGCACAAAGACAGAAATTGTTGGTAAAACTCAGCAAGTCTGGCAGCATCGTTGGAGAGAACGCAGGCTCATCATTTTGTGTCCAATGACTCTTCTTCAGAACAGACCCTTCTGAAGAAGGATGAGAGATAGTAGGAACTGCAGATGCTGGAGAATCTGAGACAACAAGGTGCAG